CATTAGCAATATTGATTAGGAATTGATTAAAACATATTCCCTTGTCTTGGCTTGTTTGAGTTTGATTGCTGGTAGGTAATTCTTGATTCATATTCTTGTGSACACCAAAATTTTGCTGCCATGGCTGCAATGTTTTGTCAAGGAATTAAAGTGATCACTTTTTTAGTCTCTCCATCAATTCAACTTTCTCAGCATCTACACATCAAACATGAAATCCATCAATGTTGATCATTTCACAATCTTGGTAGTAGCCTACTACTACCAAGATTGTTTTTCAGTTTGACAGATTTGAATGTACACATGTGTCCTGTTGTTTTTTACATTTCAACATCCTCTATCATGTTGTCATTGACTACCAACATACAATGTAAGCATTTGATCTATCCTTTTGAAAGATTTCTTTGGATCTGCAACAATTTGGCATGTGATGTGGCAGTTACTAGCAAGCAGTATTCCTGGAAATCTTGCATGTCTCTGTATTTTCTTTTTTGTCTATCTGCAGTTTTAGGTTTGAGACCTTGCAGTTTTTCATCTTAAGTTTTAGGTTTGTGGCCTTGATTACAATGGTGTGATCTGCAAATCTCTTGTTAATTTTTTTAATGCGCTGTTTTGAGAAACTAAAAGAATATGCCATCATTTATTGCACATTTGTCTGCAATGCTGTATGTTGCAAAAGCAATAGTATCTTCTAGAAGTTTGTCCCAACGTTTTACAATTCTTGCATAGGCAATTTGAATGTACTCTTCCTTCAAGCCAGCTTGAAGTTCCCTCAAATCTTAATTGCTACACCACCATGGTATAATTGTTGCTTCTTGACAGTTTGTACATTTACTTGTACATGTTGATGAGTCAATGATTGCATGAAATTTTGTTGACATGGTGATACTTTTTGCAAATGTGTTTTGTTTTGCTATTCTTGGGCTGTTCCACTTCTGTTTTCATGGTTGTATGGCTTGTGCTGACAGAATTCATCAAGTCTTGGGAATGGGATTCTCTTTCCTCATGTAAAAATAACCAGTTTCATTTTGGAACCACCAATCATGACAGTGACTCCTCCTCATTGGTGTAGTAGTACTACTAGTAGTTGGCTCATTTGCTGGTGGCTAATTGTTGTTTTAGAGGGTGTCAATGTTGACACTGGCCTTGGCATTGCTATGTTTGTCTGTGATGCTCTTCCCCAACTTTGTTGAGAGGAACTGGTATTATTTTTTGTAGGACTCAAACTTGTCCAACAAGGCATCACCAGTTGGTGCATCATGGTGCCTGTCATAGTAGCATCATGCCTGTCATAGCCATCACTAAACTAGCCAAAGCTGTCCATATTTATTGTTGTTGGGTTCGTGTTAATGTCTACATGACTGGTGATCACAATAATTTTTGAGTCTCAGTAGGATATGTAATTTTCTTACATTTTGGAACAACCAATCACAAATTTGACTTACAAGTCTTTATTTGAGTCTTGTGAGGAGCARTCTTGTCCTCTTGAATCTTGGAATGATCAATCACAAATGTGACTGATTATTTTAGTCTTGGGAGCAATTTGGTTCTCTAAAATGCTGGAATGACTGATTATCACAATAATGACTGAATKTTTAAGTTAAACATGAATAAGCTGTTTTTGGTTAAGGTACATATTAATTTGCAAGCAATGGTATAGTGGGTTATACATGGATTCTACTCTAAAAACAAGTTTCTTTTTGTTTCCTTGGGAAGTCCAGGGCTGTGAGAATTCTTCAAGGTTATTGGCTACTGTGCACGAAAGATAGTGGTAGCTTCCAGTGCACCCTAGCCAACTTCACTCTTTATTGTAAACCACGTATTAGTAACATGCCTTCATTCCGTCAAAATTGCAGCACTATCAGCAACACAACAAGTTCAAAGGGTGACACATAGCAACGATGGTATCGAGAACTTCTATTCGAAAAGACTTGGAGCGATATGAATGAGAATGGAAGCCTAGTGAACGCTTGCTGTTATCCGCCATAATGTGCAAGCATGATGATTCTTGAAATCCTTGGTAGCAGAACAAAGTGGCATTCGAGATGACGGCCTGAAGCTGCAGGGAAGATGTGTGCTACAGCTGGTTGGCTCTGAGCTCAGAGCTTGGTTTGTTCTGGTTCCTTGTTCTTGGTGGCACCACGATGTAGACGTTCTCGTTTGGTTGTCTCTCCAATGTAGTTGCAAAACTAGTAGCAATCAAACCAATCAAGCCGATCGAAAGGCCGTGGTCATTCCAAACAATCTGGTCTCGCGTATCACATCCCATCGCATCCCATCGCAACCCATCGCAACCCATGGCAACGAATCGTCTCGTCTCTTCCACYACTATCGGCTAGCGGCGGTCCCCTTCCGGCCGCCACCGGGGCGGCTTATTTGCTTCTGCGCTCGCGTTTCYGCGGTGGGTCCTCGACCGCAGCGAGGCCATCCGCCGGCGGTAGTACCCGGCGAATTCCTCCGGCGCGAGGGCCACGACCCCGTCGGCCCGCGACTTGCCCGAGAGGACCTTGTCCGAGGTGGCGAGGACGACCCCTCCCACCGGTGCTTCACCACCNGCGCTTCTGTTCCCCGAGGGCGCAGGCCAGGATCCGGTCGTCGTTCGTGACCGATCCCCCGAACAAGAATTCCCCGACCGCCCGGTGGCTCTCCGCMCGGCTCTGGGTGCGGAGCACCCCCCCGGCACTCTTGCYKGCWRCGGCTCCSCTTGGAAGGGACAGYKGCGGCTGGTGCGGAAGCGAGCGGTGGCCCAGCTCTTCCGCCAGCATCCGGACCGCCCTCCGCGCCTGGAACCTCTTGTGCTCGCTGTCGCTTTCGCGTTCGTTGTCGCCGTCGCTTTCGCGTTCGTTGTCGCGTTCGTTGTCGACGCTTTTCCCGGAAGAAACCTTCGAGCGGTGGTCCAGTTCGCCCCACACCGTGTAGGGGACCACCAGGGAAAGGGCCTCGCGCCGGGAGCCTCCCGCGGGGGGGCAACACGGACCCCCTTGCGCTCGAACCGCTTCCGCTTCCCTCGCCAGGTCGAGCAGGTCGCACACGGCGCCGTAGGATTCGAGGAGGGCGCAGGTGTCGAGGACGACGATCCACCGAAGGGGAAGGACCGGGCGGTCCGGAAGGAACCCCCGCGGAAGGGGTCCTCTGGAAGTTTCGTCGCAACCATCGCCGTCCGCCGCGGGTTTCGACCCTTTCGCGGGTTTGTTCTTTTTCTTTTTCTTTTGCTTGGACTGTTTCGTGCCGATTGAAAAGGACACAAGGGGTCTTCCGTTCGAGTTTGTTGCGGTCGTCGTCGTCGTCGCTTGCTTTGCATCGGGAATGGAAAAGGCCTTCCAAACCCCCTTGCGTTCTTCGGCTCGGTCGATCACGGACTCTCGGAGCTGCCTTGCTCGCGGTTTGGTTTCCGGCCGCGAGCGATTTATCCCTTTGAACGCATCGTGTGCGAAGGGACAACCCCCATCGGAAGCAGCGGCCGCGCAGTGTTGCGGGTCGGATTCGTTTTCGTTTTTGTTTTCGCCGCCGCCATCGCCGGTGATCGASAGGCGTTCGATCTGGGAGAAAAACTCGTCCAGCAAACCATCGTCTTCGTCGTTGTTGTCGTCGCTGTTGCCGCCGTCTTTGTTTGCTGGATCCATCCTATGCGTGATCGCGGATCGAGTGGTGGGTTTTGGCTAGCTCGAAACGCTGCCGGTTGTACTCCGCTGTTCGTGTTCCATCACTGTTTGTGTTTGCGTCTAGACAAACTCTCACGTTGTGTGTTTTTGTGTTGGTGACGATGAAAAACTGAACAACAACAAAATGAGTGATCCCAGATCCCAAACCTCGAGATACTGTAGCAACGGTATGTACGGTAGGTAGGATCCATATCTACGTAAACAATCTACTGAACTATCTACTGATGGTACGTAACAAAATAAACGAGCGCGATGTAATTTTCCAGTTTTTTTTTTGAAAAAATTAATTCAAAAACCGGATTACTTTCGTTTTTCAGAGAAATGAGTGATCAGTGCCCAGCCGCTGTATTGATCGGATGACTGTGTGGCGGTACGGCGGTGCCGTTCGTTCGTTCGTGGCTTGAGTTCCTTACTCCGCACCGCCGCTTCCGCTTCCACCGCCCAGCCCGCAGCTCCACAGCACGTGGTCCTCGTCGGGGGCAAAGTGCATGTACGGGGTGGTCTCGTCGGCCAGCCGGACGGTGTCCGCGGCGATGCCCGAGCCGGCCGGGAACAGGTCGGTCCCGAGCCTTTGCAGGACCCMCGACCGGAAGCGCTCCTGGACGGTTTCGCCGGGCGTGGCCGGGACCCTCGAGAAGCGCAGGACGGTCGAGTGGACGATCCCGGGGATGGTGGGGTAGGCCTTTGTGGTTGTGTTTGAGTTTGAATTTTTGTTTGTGTTTGCGTTTGCGTTTCCGTTTGCCGGGGCTGCTCCTTGTTCGGCGGCGGCGGCGGCTTCCCTCAGGCAGGCCCGGGCCGCCTCGATCCCCCCCGAGAGGTCCCTCCACAGGAGGATCCCGGCCTTTTTCCCGATCTGTGCCGACTCGACGACGAGGCGGAAGGGTTTTTTGGGCCACCCCGGGAGCCTTGCGGCCGCCTCCACCAGCGCCAGGGCCCGCTTGCGCTCGCGGTCCCGCCGCTGCCTTTTCTCCCCCYKGTCGTCTCCGYCGTCGTCGATCTTGTGGATCCGGGAAAAGGTCGCGATCGTGACGTGCAGCGCCGAAATCGGCTGAAAGTACACCGCCGGGACCSTTGTGGGAGCCTCCCCTGGTGCCATTTGTACGGAGGTGTCGCAGGGATCGAAGCAGGACCGGACGGCCGCCAGAAACTCCGAGTACTCGCGGCCCACGCCCTCCAGGGGAGAGGGAGGCCAGTTCGTCACGAGGACCAGGCCGGCGTAGTCCCCGTCCTTGCACAGGGGAATGTCGGACACCATGGGATCGGCCTCGAAGGACAGGGCGGGGCCGTCGCTGGGGGCGGGCCTCGGAGGCGGAAGCGGCGGTGCCTGCTGCTGGTGCTGCTGTCCCGTTTCGCCGCTGCGTTCGTTGCTTCCCGGTGCCATCGCTGTGCCGAATTGGATTGGATCGTATTGGATCGTATTGGAACGTATTGGTTTGGATTGGAAAATGGACTCGGTGCAGAAGTTCCCGTCGATTGGAATGTGGTTGGTGCGGTAGGATGAAAAGACTCCTTGGGGATGCGATGCGATGCGATGCGATGCGATGTGATGTAACGTGTTGGGCTGGGTTTGGTTTGGTTTGGTGGTTTGGTTCCGGTGTTGAGGCATCCGTTTCTCGCTCGATGAGAATTGTTTTTTCTTCGTCATGCCAGATCGATCGAACCCAGCAGAACGTCATTTTTCACGGCTTTATCCCACGTGGGAAGATGTTACATTCGACTCGCTTGATCCAAGCCGAATAGCGGAAGGCTCTTTCGTTCAGCACTAGTACAACTACTACTACTAGCTAGTAGTACTCTTCCTCCTCCTCCTCCTACTACTACTAGTAGTAGTACTTTGTACTACTACCAGTATGCTTGGCAGAACACACTAGGCGTTTCTCTTTTACTAAGTCACCAGCATCCAAACCAATGTGGTGGTGGTCGTGGTGGTCCACCAACCCTCCTCCCAAACATTGCTGGTGGTGGTGCTGGTGGTGGTCAACAAAAAAAGCTGGTGGTGCTGTCTCCTACTACTACTATGATTTCTTCTCTGGCCACAGCCAACACCATCAAGTTTTTGCTGAACAGCAGGCAGCATTCTTGTTCTTCTTGTTCTTGTTCTTCTCATCTTCTTCTTCCACAAAAGGACCACCAGGCAGGAAAGGAAAATATCTTGTTGTTGTGATGGTGCAATGTCACCACAACATAAATAAGGAAAAATCTAGTATCAATAATGATACCAATACCACTACTAGTAGTACTAGTACTAGAAGTACTAGTAAGAAGCTTGTTGATCATAAGTTACACAATCACCAACAACAAGAAGTTCTTGTCTGTGAATTCTTGTCCTTTTTCCAGCCCAACCCCCTAGTAGTACTAGCTACTACTAAAGTAGTAGTGGTAATACTATTGTCATGTTGGCAAGCACAATACAAACAAGGCACTTCTGCCCATGAGGGTGCTGTGAGAGATACATCTGTCCCCTTGTCCAACAAGAAGGCTTGCCAACCAAGATGCCCCACCAAATACTACTTTCAGGGAAGTAGCAGGATCTTTCTGATGCTATCAATATTAGTAGTAGTACTTATCAGTTTGCATTTTAAAGTTATTGTTCGTCACAATAATTGTTCCAATTTTTTTACCCTCGTCAGTACTAGTATCAGTAGTAGGAGTAGTAGGAGTAGCTGCAAAAATTATGGTACCAGCTCCAATACTAATTTCAGTTTAGAATTTCTCCAAAATCTCAATACATGCTGGTGTTGCACTGCAATATTTCCAGCAGTGCAGGAAGGACATCCTAAAAGTCAAAACTTGGTAAATCCAGCCAAACACTTGTTGTGGTAGTAGTTGTGCAAGTAGTAATACTACTAGTATTACTAGTCGCTTTTGTAAAGTGGCTGTTTGATTTTTTGAGTGGTGGTTGGAATCTAGAGAAAGTGTACTGGTGCTTTTCTTAATTATGTTGCAAATTACAATGCAACATGAATGCTATGTTGCTAATGATTTTTACTATTAGGAGTCCAGCAGTCATTCTTCAGTCTTCCAAAAGTACAAAGTAGCTAATAAAGTACTACTACAAACCCCCTCTTCGAAGGTCTAGTAAGATCTCATATTAAAGTTTAAGCTTGACTATATTACTTGGTCACACATGGATTCAGTCTTCTAACACTACAAAATCCCTCCAATAGCACAAGAAGCAAGGCCTGCTTTCCTGTCTCCTCCAGAATCATATTTCATGAATCGAGGGTAGCCGTCCAAAAGCTCCCGCGGTTTTTGTTGTGTTGTCAACGGTTTGGGGAATGTCCAAAAGAGAATGCTGGTCTGTGATCCAGCAACCATCACCGTGCCGCGTTGATTTCTAACACCACGACTGCCGAGCTCAAAGAATTGGCCATTCAGCGGGGCTTGTTTTCTGTAGATTCCTTTTCTTGATCCTTGAAAGACCCCGAGATACGATGTTTGTCGAACGCTCTAGGAAAGACCACGAAAAATGGGTATGGAGGTATCTTGCGGGTATGAATCGGATTCATAAGCTAGGTAACATATAATGCGGTCCGATACAGGTACGATTCCATTCGAGATCGCACGCCGCTTCGAGATTGGATCTTGTACTTAAACTAAGCAATCGCTGACATGGTGCGGGCGCGGCCGTTAATCCGTTCCTTTCTCATCTTCTTCTCGAAGGATTTCTTCCACTGCGGGAAGACGGTTCGCATGTAATGCGTGTGCATGTCCTTGTCGCGGTCCCACTGGTGAACCACCGGGCTGAGGGTCCCGTCCCAGTTGTAGACCTGCTTGGTCTCTTGGTTGTAGAAGCCCCACTCCTCGAAGGGTTTCGTCCGCAGGGCTCCGAGGTTGTTGATGATCCCCTTGCCCTGCTCCCACACCACCAGCTTGGTGATATTCTGGCTGTTGGCGAGTTTTCCCGAGTAGTAGAGGTAGTTGTGGAATCCCTGATCGGCTCCCGTCATCTTGATGTCCGTCTCGTCCCACTCGTTGACCAGGGCCTTTAGGTAGGTCTCGATGGCGATTTGTTCCCCCATGGTCGATCCGCTGCAAATCGTCGGCTTGTTTGCCATGGCCGCCAGGGTGTCCTCCCCGTAGGACCGGCGGATCCAGTTTCGGTTCTTGGTGGACTTTCCGATCCTGGTGGCCTCGGCGTTCTCCCCAAAGAAATAGAGAAGGCCGTTTTGGTGGCGGGGGAGGCCTTCGAAGGGGTTGGTTTGGAAGAGGGAATCCCGTGCATCGACCAGCATGATCCAGGAGTCGGGATTGTAGTGCTGGGCCCAGATCCAGTACCATTCGTACCGCAGGGTGGCTACGACGCGGCCGATTCTCGGATCCTTCGCCGTCTTGACGACGTTTCCGTCCTTGTCCTTCCATCCGTAGACATCGTTGAGGAGACACATCTGAAAGATGTCGGGGGTTCCCCTCTTCATGATGCGATCCGAGGGCGTGACGGCGTCCGCCTCGAAGCAGTCCAGCTTGTGGATGTAGACCACCAGGTTTTCCTGGGATTTCAGATACTCGAGAACATGGTTCTTCAGCAAACCGTACTCCGAAGTCGCCAAGACAATGTCTCCGTCAAACCCCGTTGCCCGAAGCGTCTCGATGAAGCTCATGTAATAATCGAGCGTGTATCCCTCGGCGTAGGCCATGACCACGTCCTGATCGGGGCGGTGTTTTCCGATTTCCGGTTCGACAACGACCACAACATCGGGATCGTTGAGGGGGTAGGTTGGTTTGGGAAAGAAACTGGGAGAGTTGACCTCGATCTCGTGGGCAATTTCGAACAGACTCGACTTGCTTTCGTCCATGACAATTTTGGGTTTCCATTCGTCGGCACTGGCGATCGATGCCAACGCGAACGAAATCACCACCACCCAAAATAGCGACAGCCGAGGGACTGCCTCCAAGAGAGAAAGGTTGCTCATGTTGTCTTTTGCTGCGTTGATTCGATGTGGATTTCGATGTGGATGTGGATGTGGATGTCGATGACGGTTTCTGTTTCTACTCTCCGTCCGTTCAGAAAGGATATAGAACGCGAACTCAAGCGCTGTATTCTAAGTTCGAATCCAAGGAGATCGGGTGCCCAAGGTGTTTGGTTTGCGGTCCCAGGGGTGCAAGCTATTTGGTTCTGTTCCACCGGATGATGAAACAGAAACGTTCTGGCAAAGGGAAGCGATGAGGACCTTTTTGTCTTCGAAACAAACTCTCTTCGGGTCATCCGCAACGGAACGAAAGACCCGCCATTTTACGCTTCAACGAACGTACGGTACGAGCTCGTACGATACGATACCATACCTTGCTACAGTAGTTTTTGTTGCAACCACCATCATAGATATGATTCATATGTACGATACGTGAAGTAAACAAACCTCACGTGAGTCAAGGGGGTCGCATCCATCGTAGATCTACTTTTGGTCGCCCCCGTTTTGAAATTGAAACGGTGTTCGTGCTTTGCCTCCTCGTACGAGTACGAGTACTACAGTACGACGAAAGTACCCGTACTATTGTGAGCCACAAGATCGAGCCACACACGAAACACGAAACACAAAGCTGATCTGCCTGCGTGCAGGGAAACAGGGAAGGTTGTGCAGGTTGGACCTACGGTACGGCAGGCTATCCTGCTCTTGGGAAAAGAAAGCCACGAAAAGCCCATCTGTTCCAACTCCAACCCCATTCCGGTAGAAAGAGAAAGAAGCAACATGGCCGAAACACTAGAATCACTCAAGGCCGAAATCGCAACCGTTGGAGGCAGCATTGCCAAGGC